GGGAGAAGCTTTCGTGCTTTTTCCGGCTCGAGAGCTGCGTTCCTGGGCTCGCAGTCCCTGCCTCCGTCTGCAAAGCAGCAGTGTAGCATCTTGGCTCCTTCTCCTCTGGTCAACTCTGCCCCTGCCCGCTTCTTATAAGGACATGTGATTACATTTATGTCCCACGTGGATAAGCCAGGATGATCTCCCCATCTCAAGAGTAACTTAACTGCATCTGCGAAGTCCCTTTGCCACGTACGGTAACACTGGCAGTGTCCAGGGATCAGCACGTGCACATCTTCAGCAAGGAGGGCATCGTTCAGCCAACCACGCAGCTCTTGTCAGGGCCTTAGCCCCTTCCCCCGGAGCAGATATGCCAGCTGCCATGCCCCTCCCCAGTGGCTTCCCAGGGCTGGTCTCCCAGGCCCCAGGAGTCCAGGTCACTCCCACTGTCCCAGCCAGGCCACGAAACTAAGTGAAGAGGCACTTGTGACCAGCCCAGCCGGGAAGGTGGTATCAGAAGGTAAGATCAAAGGTGGTGTCCAAAGAGAGGGGCTGCACAGGGGTAGCTGCTCAGAGGTGGGATGGGCAGTAGCAGCCCTGAGTCAAGTATCTGTAAGAACCAGGACCACAGGGGCTCCCCAAACTGGAGCTCCGGATCTCCCTGGTCTAAGCTAAGGGGACCGGTTGGTGGGGCCCAAACTTCCCTGATGGCTGCTAGTGTCCCCTTGTTGTTGGGCTGGTTGCACAGGGCTGGTCCACCACCTAATGGCCGTGTTCCTGTGTGTACACACATGTGCACACATGCCCAATGCCCAGATGTCCCAGGAAGTGGCCTTGGGCTCAAAGCTGACCAAGGTAGCCCCCGACACTCTTCCACAGCCTGCACCTGGAGCTCTGTGTAGCTGATTTGGGGACCACCTTCCTGAGCTCTGGAGGCTGAACTGCTTCTCCTGACATTTGCGCACCAGCAACCTGGGCCTGAAGCGCATGTGCTTCGAGTTTGCTTATTTGTTTGTTTAGGTGGTAGTTGTTAGGGCAAAGTGGGCAGAAGGGAGGGCCTGCTGGAACTGCGTATCAACCTGTGTGTGTGTGTGTCTCTGAGGGTACATATTTATTACAGTAAAAATTCTGTTTCATTAAATGCACGGAATGTATCCTAGGTTGGATCCTAGAACAGCAAAAGGACATTAGTGGAAAAGTTGGTGACATCTGGATAGTCTAGAGTTTAACCAATGGCCATGTACCAATGTTAATCTCTTAGACACATGCACCATAGTTGTGCAAGATGTTAACACTAGGGGAAACTGGGTGTGGGGTATACAGGAACATTCTGTACTATCTTTGCAAATCTAAAATTATTTCAAAATTAAAAGTTTATTAAAAATTTCTGTTTCAAAGTTTTAAAACCCAATATAAAATATCACTTTGGAAGCTAAACTAGCAAATCCACTATTCAGCCCAACTTGTATCTTTTATTGAGGTATAGCGCGCACACAGTAAGGCACACAGATCTTATGCGTCCAGCTTATTGAACTTCACATGTGGAATCCCACGTAACCAGCCCAGATCAAACAACGGCAAGTTTCCAGTGCCCAGAAGTCTCTCTCTTGCCCCCTCCCATTCAACAGCTCCCTCCACCTGGGGTAGCCACTACCCTGACTTACCTGCCATCGGTCAGTTTTGCCTGTTCTCAAACTTCATAGAGAGAGAACCTTGTGTCTGGCTTCTTTCACTCAACACAGTGTCTGGAAATCACACTTGCTATCATGCGTAGAAGCAGTTCATTCTTTTATGGTTGGGTAATATCCCATTGCATGATACGTCCTAATTTAGTTATCCATTCTATTTTCAGTTGACATTTGGGTTGTTTCCAGTTTGAGGTTCTTATAAAGGAAGCCACTATAAACATTCTTATACGTGTCTTTGGCAGATATAAGCACTCGTTTCTCTTGGATGTATACTGCAGAGTGGAACTGCTGTGTGATAGGGTATTTGCATGTTTCGTTTCAGTAAATACTGCCAAATGGCTTTCCAGTGTGGTTGCACAGTCATCCTTCTTCCAGAAACATATGAGGGTTCCAGCGGCTCCACATCCTCGCTGGTACCTGCTGTGGTCAGTCTTTGTAATCTGAGCCATTCTAGTGGTTAAGTATCTCATGGTTTTGATTTGCATTTCCCTGATGACTAAAGATGTTGAGCACTTTTTTCATGTGTTCAGCAGCCTTTAGGATATCCTCCTTTGTGAAGTGCATGTTCAAGTCTGTTGCCTATTTTATTGGATTGTTTGCCTCTTTTTATTGATTTGTAGGAGTGCTTTATATATTCCAGATACGAGTCCTTTGTCAGATATATGTATTATAAATATCTCCTCCCCATTTGGTTTTTCTCTTCACTCTCTTAACGGTGTCTTTTGATGAGCTGATCAGTTCAGCGTTAATCAAATGAACTGTTGGGCCTATTTTTTTCATTCAAATAAGATTTTGTAGCATTTGTGTATACTTAGAACTAGAAGGAATTTTAGGGATCATCTATGCCAGCAGTTCTTTATTCTTATTCATTAGAATAACTGGAGGAGCTTTTGAAAAAATACTCTTACCTGGGCCCCACCACCAGAGATTCTGAATCAGTTGGTCGGGGTGAAGTCCAGGCAGGAGAATTGTTCTAAAAGCTCCCCAGGGAATTCTAATAGGCAGTTGGCATTGAGAGCCACTGATCTCTGTGAATGGATAGAGTCTAAGAGAGTGACATTCTGCTTGGCAGTGACCACATGCCCCAGCCTATTCCTGCCTCTCTCAAGCCCCTTAGCAGGTGGTTGGCTCTTCCAGGGTAGCAAGTGGAAGCACAATCCTCAGTGGGTCTTCCTCCTTTAAACCACTCAGTTTGGGACAGTCTGGGACAGTCCTGATTAATGCCTATTGCCCTGGTGTAATTATTAGTAGAGCTTCCCTTTCACTCTCAAAAGTGTCCCAGTTTGGGTAGTACACTACAGGTCACCCTACCCTTAAACCTGCTGAGGATGTGCTGCCCTGGCCTGCCATGTCCCATGTCCCCATCCTCCAAGGCTCAGCCTCAGCTCCCACCCCCAGCTACCTTTGAGTGGTTTGGAAGATATCACGTATGCATCCCAAAAATGGAAGGGCCCAACTTTCCATCCCAGTAGTGACCAGGTCCTAATTCCTCATCCTTCCAGCTGGATTTCTTAAAATCCCACATGGAAAAGCAGCACCCGGTGCCTCTAGCTCCCTCACTGTGAAAATTCTATTTAAACACCACTTGGCCAGACAGAGATACCACTCAGCTGCAAGAACCAATGACTATGGTCCCCCATGCCCCCCTCCCCAGGTGGGACAGCCAAGTAGAGGGGCTCTGACTGGGGGAGAGGGTAAGTCATTCTTCCACATGACATGTGACAAAGGCCCCTGAAGGTCCCCAGAAGTCAGAAAGGTGTTGGTCTCCTCCACCTAGGCTGGGTTCTCTCTCAGGTTGTCACCCCTTGAGACAACCAGGGTGCAGCCTGCTCCCTGCCCTTTCTTTCTGGTGAGAACTACACAGGCACAGCGCCCCCCCTCCTCTCTCACCTCCGCCTGGTTCTACCTGTCTCCGCAAAGAGTGCCCCAAGGCAGCTCCACGTCACAGATGCACATCGAACAGCTTCACCCTCCTCGCCCCCTCGATGCTTCTGAATTGTCTGATTTATCTGAGTTTCATTCCTGCCTTCAGCCACGTCACCTGCACAAAAATAACTCATGATGATGGCTCTAGTGGGCTGAATGGGGGCCCAAAAGGATATATATGTCCAAGTCCTAATCCCTGGAATCTGTGGAAAAGGGTCTTTGCAGATGTAATTAAGTTAAGGATCTTGAGAGATAAGATCATCCCGGACTATCTGGGGGCCCTAAATCCAGTGACAAGTGTCCTTACAAGAGACAGAAGAGAGGGCCGGGCACAGTGGCTCACGCCTGTAATCCTAGCTCTCTGGGAGGCCGAGGCGGGCGAATTGTTTGAGCTCAGGAGTTCGAAACCAGCCTGAGCAAGAGCAAGACCCCGTCTCTACTAAAAATTAGAAAGAAATTAATTGGACAACTAAAAATATATAGAAAAAATTAGCCGGGCATGGTGGCGCATGCCTGTAGTCCCAGCTCCTTGGGAGGCTGAGGCAGTAGGATTGCTTGAGCCCAGGAGTTTGAGGTTGCTGTGAGCTAGGATGATGTCACGGCACTCTAGCCTGGGCAACACAGTGAGACTCTGTCTCAAAAAAAAAAAAAAGAGACAGAAGAGAGGACACCGGAGCAGAAGGAGGAAGCACAGGTAGGGGCTGGAGAGGTGGCGCCACAAGCCGGGGAGCAGCCAGCCTGGCCAGGGCCCCCAGAAGCTGCGAGAGGCAGGGAAGGATCCCCCTGGAGTCCCCGAGGGAGCACAGCCCTGTGCACACCTTGACTTCAGACTTCAGAACCCTGAGAGAACACATTTCCGTTGCTTTAGCCACGGAGATTGAGGAAATTTTTTATGGGGCCCCAGGACGCCGATACAATCACTCAAGCCAGCTTAACTTTCCCAGGCCCCGCCTCTGCTCCCTGCAAACTGTCCCCCCTGCTGTCTGCTCTAAAGCATTAGCTAGAACACACACGGACACACACGTCCCTGCTAATTTGCATCTGTGTCGCAGCCCTTCCCTGGAACACGGTGAGAGGAGACACGGGCCGGACTAGGTAACTCGTCGAGACCTGCGCAAGGCTGGCAGTGGGCACGGGCAGGCTGAGCCGCCCTGCGGGGCTCGCGGCGCCTTCCCTGCCCAGGGGCCGCAGAAGCCGGGCTCCTTCGGTTTCTGGGCTGAAAACAGAATCCCCTGGGAAGACTGCAAGGATGAAGGAGGAGAAGAGCCACGAGGCAGCCTCTGCACGCACCGTTAAAGAGGGGAAACACGAGTGGCCGCCAAGTCCGGAGGACACCGGGAGAGAAAAAGTAACGAGCCCTCAGCCGGCGCGTGGCAGCAGAGCTGTCGCCGGCGCGCAGCGGGCTCACTGGGGCGCGAGTTCAGCCGGGAAGGCTTGTTTCAGGGTGAACATGAGGAAGACAACCTCCTCGTTATTGTCCGATTCGTACAGACACCCGAACTGGGGGGACCCGTCGGGGCCGGTCCCCATGCTCTGGAGGTCTGAGTAGGCGCAGCTGCCCGCGGCCAGCAGGGCCGGCTCCGACCAGGCCTCGGGGGCCGGGGGCCACTTGTGGAGGTAGGCGCCCAGGTCGGACCTCTGCCGCGGGTCCGTCGGGTGGGTGTAGAGCAGCCACTGCCCTGAGGAGCCTGAGCCCAAGCTGGGCCTGGGGAAGCTGATGACGCTCCCGTGGCAGCCACCGGGAGGCTCCACGAGCTTCTCCACTGGTTGGGTCTCCTCGAAATCGAGCCCGCTGTTGGCGCTGCGGGCCTGGACCCTGGCTCTGCGGGAGCTTCTAGCGTTGAGGTACACCAGCCTCTGTCCCCCAGCCTCGACTTCGGCCACTTGGCACTCCAGGGTCTCCTGGGCCAGAAAGTTCCCTCTCTCCCACGTGCGCCCATGGTCGTGACTGAGGAAGCAGAAGGCCGAGGGGGACGGCCGCCCGGCGGGGCGCAGGTTCCGGTACGCATAGGCGGGCACCACCAGGCTCCGCGTCGTGTTGTGCAGCTGCAGGCAGTGCCCCGGGCCCACTGCGAAGGTGGCCCATTCCTTGTGGGCCGCGCCAATGGCCGAGCTGGTGAGGTCTCTCGCGGGGCTCCAGGTCCTCCCGTGGTCGGTGCTGGTGACGAGGCACAGCCGCGTCACATTGACCCTGGTGTGCAGCTGGTGGTGCTCGGAGACCTGTCCCAGGACGGCAATGAAGAAGAGGAAAACGGTCCCTGTGTGCTCGTCGTACAAGGGGCACGGGTTCATAGACCGGTGGCCGTTCAGCTGGGCTTGGGCCACCACCTCTTGAGCTTGCCACTGAATGTGGAGAGAGACAGGAAGGAGAAGTACAACCTTGAAATAACCAGTGACGGGCACAGGAGCTGCACACTTGGGGACGGGTGGGGACGGCATGTCTCATGGGGTTAGAGTCAAAGGGCATAGGGGAGAACTCGTCACCCAGTGCTCCTGTCCTATAGCACCTCCCAGAATTCAAGGCTGGGGCCCACCTCCCTCCCTCCAAGACAGCAGCTGTTTTCTTGAGTAGCACCATTTCTCCTGTTCCCGTCGACACTTATTCACAGAGCTCCCACCACGTGCTAGACCCCAAGATGCAAAGATGACTCAGGCATAAGCCACCCCCAGCTCGTCCTGGTCTCCTCCACTCCAACCCAGTCCAGCCTGCCATTCTTAAAAACATTGCAGACTGCAACAGCCTGACCAGTGGCAGACAGAAGACGACAATCACCTCCCACCTTCTCCACACCGTACTCTACTCATGCAGCCGGGCTCATATTGGGCCTCCACAGTCCTATGTCACTGTAGCGCTGCTATTTGTCCCTGCTCAACGGCTGCCCCAGTGAGCAGTTCTAAGCGCAGACACAGTGCCAAAAGTCTAACCTCCACTGCTTCATCTACTGCCCAGCCCTGGGGAACAAGTGTTATTAGCTCCTTCTTACACCCGGAGAACAAGAGGCTGAGATTGGGTAGAGGGGTGGCCTGGGCCATGCCTCTGGTAAGTGATGGAGCCAGAACTCGAACCCAGGGCCATCTGCTTTGGATCCCATGCTTTGAACAGCTACTATGTAGTAACAACTATAAAGGAATGAGCAAGACTGGCTCAAGCCATTCTTGAGCGCCCTCGTCAAGATTAATTACTTGATCTACAAGCTGGAACTTCAGGACATAAACAATCATCCCAACCCACCCACTGCCCAGGTTAATTTGACTCGAAGGGTACAACCCCCAGTTATGTAAGACTGAACTATCACTCCCTTGGGCTCTCAAGGATGCTGGGAAACTGGTCCAACCATGCAATAAGGCAGACGCAACCAGGCCAGCGGGTTCATGGTGACCCCGTGTGAGGTCCGAGTACTCACTCACAGGGCACCTTCCCTGCCCAACCCCTGGGTGGTTCCCTGGCTCCCTCCTGGGCTCCAATGTGTCTTTTCCCTCCATCCCCCAGACCCCAGCCATCGAGGGATGGAATTGTCCCCATGTTCCATGACATCTAGGCCTGGCTCCCCCCGCACACCAGCAAAGGGGCGTGCGTAGAGCCGCAATGTAGCAGTTGTAGCTGCGCCCTGCCTTACCTGGACCTGGTGGGCGGACGCATCGTAGCTTCCTCTGCGTAGGACAATCAGCTCTGCGTCCTCATCCTTCTTGCTCTTCCGCCGTTCCGCAAAGGCCAGCAGGGTCTCCTGCCATGGCAGGTAGAGCAGAGCAGGGATTCTGTAGGCCTGGGCTCCCGACTGGAACACTCTTTCCTTCTGCAGGACGGGACAGGACGCCATGGGGCTGCGGCGGGCAGGAAGAGAAGATGAGTCACCTTCTGTCACACCTGAGACGGGGCCAGAGTCACCCACCAAGACAGGTGGTGCTCACCCCATGGGCGGGGGCCTGTCCTCTCCCACATGGGTTCACTCTCCTTCCTTACACCCTCTGACCCTAGGTACCAATTCTGCATTCAGCTCCCGTGGCGTTGGGCTCATGAGCCATCGGGAGGGGGTATCTGGAAAGGCGTATATTGTATTAGATTTTTATTGTAAGTTAACGAACCTCCTTCTGACAGATTTGTGATAACCGTCAGCTGCTTTTGCCAAACCCAACACATCAATCCCGTGAAAAAGCTTGGGTGGGAAGGGAGCGCCTGTGCCGGGCGTTCTGCTGCCGTCCGACTGCCAGACAATGACACATGGGAGCTTTTTATAACTCCAGAGCCCTAGAAAGTTGTCTTAGAAAAAAAAGAAAAAGAGAAAAAGCCTCGATCCTCAAGGCTCTGCCCCCCAGGCCGCCTGAGGCTAAGGCCCAGCCGCCCCCACTGTGTGGGCTCCCCCCAGCCGAGACAGCAAGGACAGCGGCTCCTGACAGCTAACCGGGCTGGGGGAGCCTCCAGAGGTATAAGAAAATAGAAATTAAAGAAAAGTATTTGGCTAAAAAGTGTAGGGAGGGGCTGGGGATAACTTGGTGACAGTGGGTGACAACGGCCTCTGTGCTAGGCCAGCCGGGTCCCTGCAGGGGACTCGCCCCCAGCTCTGGGGAGTGCGGGCCGCAGAGCCCCAGCGTGGGAAGTAGGGGCCGGCTGCCCTCGGCTGAAGAACTTGCTCCAGGTCTTCCAGGAGGGGCTGCAGCCTGTCCAGGACATAAGGACCCTTGTCCTCACTGGGGACAGCTCAGCTCCGGAGCTCCCCGGGGTCACTGAGACTCCTGAGACCGCGTTGCAGCTTGTCCCTCTGTAACCCCTCCCTTCCACGGTGCGGACCCTGGGAGGCCCCTGCCTGTGGACGTGTCTCCAGGTCAGAGCCAGCGTCCCGAGCCATGGCCTTCGGTGGGGCAAGGGGGAGCGGGACAGGAGCCAGCAGGGGGGGCACAGGCTCCCCTTTGCCTACCCTTTCTACCTCTCCCAGTTTTTCTACCAGGTTCACGTGTTATCTGTTTTAAACTTAACATTTTTGAGAAATAATTGTCATCTGTCAGTCTTTCATTCAATCCACAATGAACATGATTATGAAAACAATGAGACAGAATAAAACTCGGAAAGGCAAACGCCGCACGAGGAAAACCGTGCTACGGCCTGAGCACGGGCGGAAGAATCAGTCTCGGTGATAAAATCCGGACCCGCAGCTATAATCCCAGAACACAGGCTTGGTAGACACAAGGGCTGCATCGAAACTTTGTTACAAAATGTCAACGCGAAAGAATCAAATATGATTAAAAGTTAAGATGAAAATGGAGGAGAGATTGCGGTTTTACGGCGTTCTCTAGACAATCGATCGAGGGTTTATTTAAGCTCCGGGGAGCCCGCTCTGGAAAGTGTGTCCTTGGTGAACACTCAACAGTGTTGGTAGAATTCAGATTTAAATGTTTATATTTAAAACGTCCTCAGGGCCGAAACTCTCTGTACCTGTCACAGTGAGCTGGCCTTCTATGTTCCACGTGGGAGGGAGGCTGGCAGAGCAGAGCCACAAAGGTGTTCCAAGGCGAATGAGACAGAAGTGTTTTCAGGAGGACTCGGAGGGGAAAACTCAAGCGGGGTCTTTGAGGTTGAGTAGGAGTCCGGACTAAGGCCTAGGAGAGGGGCCGGTGGGTTCCACGAGGTGAACGCGACAAGAGCTGGTGGCTGGTGCCATAGGGAGAAGAGAAGATGTCCCAGGTGAGAGTGGGGGCCTCGGGCCACAACCAGTGAGCGCAGTCCCTGCCTGGTCCACTTGCAATGTCGAATGCTGAGATACGACTCACCTACTGTAAAACTCACCTTTTACAAGTGTGTGATTCAGTGGGTTTTTAGTATTTGCATAAGGTCATGCAGCCATCAGCACTATCTAATTCCAGAATATTTCCATCACCCAGCAGAAATCCCATACCCTTGAGCCGTCCCTTCCCATTACCTAAGCCTCTCGGCCCTGGCGAGCACGCACCTACGTCTGTCTCTCTGGATTTGCCTATTCCGGACATTTCGTATAAATACAATCACATAATATGTGGTCCTTTGTGATGGCTTCTTTCACTCTGCATAATGTTTTCAAGGTTCGTTCCTGCTGTAGTGTGAGTCAGTACTTCATTCCTTCTATGGCTGCAAAATATTCCGTCGTATGGGTATACCGCTGCTGTGGTTTGAACGCGTGTGTCTCCTCCAAAGTTCATGTTGACACTTAATCCCCAGTGCAAGAGGCAGGGCCTTTAGGAGGTGGTCAGGCCTGAGGGCCACACCCTCGTGGATGAGATTGGGGCCCTCATGGAAGGGCTTCAAGGAGTGGGTTTGTCCCACCCCACCATGTGAGGGCACAGCATTTATCCCCTCTGGAGGATGCAGCAACAAGGTGCCATCTTGGAAGCCTGGATGGAGCCCTCGCCAGACACCGAGCCTGCTGGCACCTTGATCTTGGACTTCCCAGCCTCCAGAAGTGAGAGAAATAAGTTTCTATTATTTATAAATTACTCAGTCTGTGATATTTTGTTATAGCAGCACAAATGGACTAAGACAGCCTTATTTTTATTGATGTATTCATCAGTCGATGGGCATTTGGGTTGTTTCCAGTTTTTTGGGCTATGGCGACTAATGTTGCTATGAACATTTGTGTGCAAGCTTTGTGTGGACATGTGTTTCAGTTCTCTTAGGCATTGGCCTAGGAGTGGAATTGCTGGGTCATATGGTAGTTCTGTGTAGCTCCTTTCGAGGGGCTACCCGACAATTTGCCACAGTAGCTACACCATTTCACATTTTCACTGGCAGTGTAGGGGGGTTCCAATTTCTCCACATCCTCGTCAACACTTGTTATTGTGTCTTATTATTTTTTTTTTTTTTTTGAGACAAAGTCTCACCGTGTTGCCCAGGCTAGAGTGCCGTGACATCATCCTAGCTCACAGCAACCTCAAACTCCTGGGCTCAAGCTATCCTCCTGCCTCAGCCTCCCAAGTAGCTGGGACTATAGGCATGCGCCACCATGCCCAGCTAATTTTTTCTATATATTTTTAGTTGTCCAGAGAATTTCTTTCTATTTTTTTTAGTAGAGACGGGGTCTCGCTCTTGCTCAGGCTGGTCTCGAACTCCTGAGCTCAAACAATCGGCCCGCCTCGGCCTCCCAGGGTGCTAGGATTACAGACGTGAGCCACCGCGCCCGGCCTGTGTCTTTTTGATTCTAGCCATCCTCGTGAGTGTGAAGCAGCATCTCATGGTGGCTTTTGATTTGCATTTCCCTGAGGACGAATGATGCTGAGCAACTTCCATGTGCTTCTGGCCATGGGAGTTGGATTTTAGCCTGGAGGCAATGGGAAGATTTCAAACATTTTGAGGCAGGGGAGTGATCCGACCTGATTTATATATTAGGAAGTCCCTCTCTCAGTTTCATGGGGGAGGGCGTGGATGGTGAGCGCGCTGCAATTTTCCAGATGAGATCATATCACAGCCTGGGTGAAGCAGAGACTGTGGTGACCGAGGTGGCCTGGCTGTTAGAGATGGGGCAGCTGGACCAACATGATTTGGAGGGCAAGCCCACGTTCCCATTATCCGGAACTGGTTTGCACAGTGCCTGTGACCGCTTTCCACATTCCTGCTTTAGCTTCTGATCTCCTAAGGGCAGGGACATATTTATTCTTTCACGTATTTGCTGTGCTCCTACCATGTGCCTGGCATTGTTCTAGGAACTTGGAATGTGTCGTCAGTAAAACAGACCGAGATGCCCGCTCTCGTGGAGTTCGCATTCTTCCGGGGATGGGCGGGTTGCTATTATTGCCAGATACCTAGACGGGACTCACCAGGACCAGGACCAGTCTGAGCATTTCTATGTTGCTTCCTCTGACCGCATCAACCCCTGGTCTCTGCACAGCCTGGCAGGCTGAGAGCGAGGCCCCGTGGAAGCGGGAAGCTGTGGACACCTGCAGGCCAGGCCCTAGGCAGGCGCTGGTCTCTCTGAGCATTTGTCCTGTGTGTACTTAGAGACAAGGCTGGGCACAGGAGTCGGTGGAGGAACAAGAGGACCTCGGAGTCCCCTGAGGGCTCTTCCCTATTGTCCTCAGGGACTCAGGACTGGTCCAAACACCCCCCCCCACACACACACGCACAATACCAGTCCCCAAATGTCCTCATAATAATAATACCAAACACTCACAAGGCCCTTAAAAAGTGCTGGGAACTCTGAGTGCCCTCCAATGTTTTCTAAGTATGTTTGTAAATTGTATTTATACATTTTATAATTGACAATACAATTTACAAATATTGATTCTTTTAATCCTCGTGACACCCCACGGAGTTGACACCACTATCATTCCATTGTATAGATGAGAAAGCCAAGGTCACCCAACCGGTAAGTGACAGAGTTGGGGCTAAGCCCATGCAGCACTTCCTCCGAGAGGAGTTCTGGAAAATGCCGCTGTCCTGCACCTCTATTAACTTCCCAGAGCTGCTCAGCACCCCCTGTAGACAGCTTGCCCACCTCCACCCAGCTCTGGCTCCACACGCTGGCAGCTGCTTCAGGCTGATGTGGAGGGAAGAGAACTGAATTCTGGTCCTAGGTCTACTTCTAATAGGTTGTAGGTCATTGGCAAGAATCTACCTTCCTGGGTTCCAGCTCCCCACCTCGTAAGAAGGGAGCTGCGTGAGGTGGCCGCACAGGCCTCTGTCACGGCCCGTGGATGAGCCTAGATAGCGATAGAGGGGTGGTGGGGGGGAATGAGCTGGAACCCAACACCGCCAACCCCTGGGCTCTCCTGCCACGAGACCCATGGCTGGGACCCTGAAGTCTGAAAGTTCCATGAAGTTTCTCACAAAAGACAAGCAGTGGAGGGTCCCTGCCCA